TAAACCCTCACCAGGATTAGTTTCCTGGTTTCAGCGAATTAAGTAGCATTGTCCTAGGAAAGATTTTAGGAACAGGGCAGAGGCATAATGGCAGAAGCATTGTTTCAAGCTCGACTTTGCATGGTGAAGGGGCGAGTCTATGGAACTTCTGAAGAGATATCCAGGAAGCAGTTGGATGTAAGCTTCTGAAGTTCAGGAAAAATGCAGGTCAGAAGATACCTTCTCGAAAGGCTTCAGGATATAAAGCACAGTAAGACTTCAAGTGATGGCAACCAGGACCAATATATGCTGAGTGGAAAATGATTGTAAAGAAGCGAGGGAACAGAAGCAACGATATCACAGAAGGTGCCAGTAAGATTTTAAACAAAGAACTGCAAGTTTACTGAGAACAGTTAATGGAATGCCAGCTTTGTGGCTCATGCTGTTCCTTGAAGCATTGCCAAGGGTCATATCTAAGAGACCACCAATTTACAGTTGACATTCAGGCCATCACTTTAGGACATTTAACGTATCTGTGTATCAATAGAGGTAGTTGGATGATCTGGGTTTACATGTGAAAGGGCTTGCCTTCACTTTTCCAGCCATCCCTGGTCAAGCCCAAGGTCTATTTTTAAGGATTTTGGTAATATCAAAAGAATGTTGAAAATCATTGACTCAAAAAATCCTTTTGACCAGGAATGTAAATATTTTCTGCTCTGTGGGCCATGCAGTCTGTTGCAGCCACTCATCTCTGCCTTCATAGAGCAAAGGCAGTCACAGGTCATGCAGAAGCGAATGCGGGTGCTCTTTGTATCTTCAAACAAATACAATTTTTTTCACATGTATGGAAATGTGAATTCATAGGATTTCATAGCCTGTAATATATTCTTTTGATTTGGTGTCCCCAGCCATTTAAAAACATAAAAACTGTTCTTGGCTTGTGGAATGATGTACAAAAGGATATGGCAGGTGGGATTTGGTTTGTGAGCCATGGCTCACCATTCCCTGCTTTCAGTCAGCCTGACATCCAGCTTATCCAGACATTACTCTGATTTCCTGTATAAATACTGCCTCCTTTTACCTTTCCATGTCTTACCACTGCCACATGGATGACAGCAGAGGTCTTATATTCCTTTGCCTTCCTAGTGCCTGCCACTGTATCTTGTCCCCAAATTCCAAAATCTCATTTGAAAAAAGAAAAGATCATAGATGAGGTGACTTACCTAATGACAGAGGTTTGTTTTCCTGAAGAGACTTCAAAGCTGCTTCTGAAAAAAGAGGAGATGGAAGAAATTTACCCTTTTTAGAGCCAGGCTATGTGGGGCCATGTGCGTTATTCTTTCTACTACTTTCAAATCTTTAATCTCTAGAGGCCAGTGAGAGGCCAAACCCTCACCTGTCTACTGAAGATGGGGAACATCTGGCTGAAAACAGATTTCTAGCTGGAATAAAACCAGCAACATTTTTAAATTAAAAAAAAAACAGGATAGGAAGTAGAGCTGTTTTACATACCCCTTTTTGGGGAGCAAGACAGAGAGAAAATGCAGAACAGTGTTCTCCAAGACAAATACAATGCCTGCCAGAAAAGCAAGCTAGCTATGTAATTTAAAATTTCCTAGTAGTCACATTATAAAAGGTAAAAAGAGGTGCAACTAATTTTCATGATATTTTTAATGTAACTGTATAGAATGTTACCACTTCAATGTATAATCAATATAAGAGTAACGAATGAGATAGTGCACAAAACAATATGTTTAAAAGCTGGTGCATACTTTAGCCTTATATACAGCACATCTGCATTCAAACAAGCCACAGTTCAAGTGCTACTGTATCAGTCAGCAGAGCTCTAAATCACATTCTCAAATTTCAGATACATGTAGGAATCACTTAAGAAGCTTTTAAGAGTTCCATGCCTGGGGGAACCATAGATCAATTAGTTAAATCAGTATCTCCTGTGATAGGTTCGGGACATCAGTATATTTAGAGCTTCCCAGGAAATTACCTAGAACAGTGAAAGTTGAGAACCACTGACCTAAGACATGGTTTGCCACTCAGGGTAATTTTGCCCCCAAGAGGACATTTGGCTGAGTCTAGAGACATTTTTGGTTGTCACCAGTGGGGGAGTGTGCTACTAGCATCTAATGGGTAGAGGTGCTGGGATTCTAGCACAGGGGTATCAGGGCTACTCCTAAATACCCAAGAATGCACAGGGTGTCCCTTCTGTACCCCCAAAGAATCACCCAGTCCCAAATGCTGCTGATCTAAAGGAAGGTAGTGGTTCAAATTTGTGAGTGTGTGTAAGAATATTTATAGACATACTATGTAGGAAGGAAACATTATAAGTAGGAATTGTAATCAAAACAGAGGGTCTACAGCTGTGCCACCCTGAACATGCCTGATCTTGTCTAATCTTGGAAGCTAAGCAGGGTCAGGCCTGGTTAGTACTTGGATGGGAGACCACCTAGGAACACCAGATGCTGTAGGCATTAAAAAATAAAATAAAAATAAATCAAAACAGAGGGTACGTAATAATTTAACATCTTGGAGAACATATGAAATAAAGGGATCATGACTATATTTCAGAAAGCCTTGAACAGGAGAATAGAGGTGTGGAGAGAAGCCCAGCATAGGCATACGATACCCAGAAGGCATAGAAATAGCCAGAATATAAGAACCACGAGACTTCATGAAGCTCTAGCATCTGTGTTCAGCCTCTCCAAGGCTCAATGCTATTTCTGTTCCTTCCCCCACTGGGACAGGGTATGGACTCATTTTTACTTACCCCTGAGTTCCTCCTTTGCTCTCTGAGACAGATCTGTTCGGTCCATCATGTTGAAGATCTGAATGGCCACCATCTCCACCCAATAGCTGGCACAGTGGTTGGTGAGAATTTCCGCCAGTTGCTTCCCATCTGCCTCATCTACTTCCATCTGGGGGATGTGCTCCAACTCATCTTTGGGACAGAGCATCCTCAACAGAGACTTGAACTTGCTTAGCTCGGCCTGGTCAAGCTGTTGCAGAAGAAGCTGCAGGCTGAAATCCAGCTGTGCAGAAGGGATCATCCTGTTCTACATGTGAGACCTGAGCTTTTGGCATTAAAGGAGAATTAAGGGAAGACATGGGCAGAGATAGCAAATCGGTACTCTCCTCTCAAATGCTTGTTGCTTCTGTGCTGGAGACTGGGATAGTCTCATTCATTGTCTAACCTGGTGCTTTAAGAACAAACTCCCAAATAGAGGTGAAATTCATTCAGAATGCTCTAATGTCTTGGCTTGACACAATGGCTCACATTTTTTTTTTATAATATGAAAGTATTTATTATCAGCAATATTCATTTTTCATTTTTATGGAAATACAATAGAAAATTAGTTGCTTGTATTTACACTGTACAATTCAATGAGTTTTTTTCCAATTATAGTTGGTATACGATAATAAAGTTTCAGTTATATAGCATATTGATCAAAGATCCACGTAACTTGCAAAGTGATCACCCCACTAAATCTAGTACCCTCTTCCACCTTACATATTTATTACAACATTATTAATCATCTTCTCCATGGTACACTCTACATCTTCATGTCTATTCTATCCATTTGTACCTCTTAATCCCTTTGCCCTATTTTTCTCCCCAACCCCCATCCCATCTAGTATCCCTCTAAATATTCCATCTCTATGAGTTTATTTCTACTTTTGTTGTTGTTGTTGTTGACTTTATTAATTAGATTCTACATGTACGTGAAATCATGTGATATTTGTCTTTATCAACCCATTTCGTTCAGCGCAATATCCTCTAGGTCCATCAAAGCAGTATCTTTTTCATCCCCTTCCTTTTAGTCTATGTGTGTCTTTTAATCTGAAGTGAGTCTCTTGTAGGCAGCATATGTAGGGATCTTGTTTTCTTGTCCATTCAGCCACTCTTATCTTTTTGTTGGAGCACTTAATCCTTTTCCATTTGAGGTACTTGTTGATAGGAATGTAGTTGTTACCATTCTTTATTCTTGTTTTTGATACATGTTTTTTCTTCTTAAAATGTCCCTCCAACATTTCCTGTAATACTGGCTTAGTGTTGATAAATTCCTTTAGATTATTTTTGTCTGGGAAGCTCTTTATCTTTCTTTCAACTCTAAATAATAGCTTTGCTGGATACAGTATTCTTGGCTGTAGATCCTGGGTTTTCATCATGTTGAATATTTTGTGCCAAGCCCTTTTGTCCTGCAAGGTTTCTTTTGAGAAATCAGCTACCAATTTTATGGGTGCTCCCTTGTAGGTAACTAACTGCTTTTCTCTTGCTGCTTTTAAGATTCTGTCTTTGTATTTAACCTTTTGCATTTTAATTACCATGTGTCTTGGTGTGGGCCTCTTTGGGTTCCTGGTTTTTGGGACTCTCTGAGCTTCCTGGGGTTGTATGTTTATTTCCTTCACCAGGTAGGGGGAGTTTTCCATTATTATTTCTTCAAATAGCTGTTCAGCATCTTGTTTTCCTTCAGGTACCCCTATTACATGAATATTTTTTACCTTTAATAGTATCCCCTTGGCTCCTTAAATTATTTAGTCTTAGCTTTTTTCTTGCTATTCTGATTGAGTGTCCTTGGCTTTCCCATCATCTAATAGGTCATTTGATCCTCTTCTTTATTCAATTTGTTTATTCCATTTAATATACTTCTCATCTCAGTGTGTTCTTCATTTCAGATTGGGTCCCTTTTATAATTTCCATTTCCATTTTTATTTTTTTATCTCTTTGTTGAAGTTCTCACTGAATTAATCTATACTTCCCCTAAGTTCATGGAGCATCTTTATAATTGTGTTTTGAACTCTGCATCTGTTAGATTGTTTGACTCTATTATTTCTGGATCTCTGTTCTGTTCTCTCATATGGTTTCTGCTTCTTTGTCTTCCCGTTTTGGCTGCCTTTCTGTGTCTCTTTCTATGTACTAAGCAAAGCTCCTAAGTCTCTTGGTCTTATTAGTATGGCTTTGTGTAGTAGGTGTCCAGTGGCACAGGCCTGAGAGGGGTTTGGCTGCAGGCCAAATTTAGCCCTAGCCTGTGCCCCTCTGGGGCCACCTGTTAAGATTCAGCAAGCAGGGAAGATGGTGGACTAGATAAAAGCAGAGTTTGTCTCCTCCCAGGTCCACATTGACATTACAACCAAATTATAAAATAATCAACATGGAGAATCACCTGAAGTCCAGTTGATCATAACACCTATGTCTGATAATATAAAGGAGCCACATCGAAGCTGGTAGGAGGGGCAAAGTTGCAAATCAAGCTGGACCCGTACCCTTGGGTAGTGGAGAACCACCAGGAGGGAGAGTGAGGCTGCAGAGCCTCTCTTGAAGAAGGCGGGGGGTCCTGGTTTCATATGGGGGCTCCCCAGCCCAGAATCCTAGCCCAGGGAAGAGGAGATTTCAATAACTCTGACCATAGAAACCAGAGGGGATTCCGGCTGTCTGGGTGAGATGAAGGAGACTGAATCCCTAGACGTCCCTTTGAAGGACCTGCGCACAGGCTTTCTGACCTGTGGACACTCACCTGGGACACCAGTGGTGGGTCAGAGGCTAGTGTGGGATTCATTCTGAGAAAGTCTGCATTACCTGGTGTCAGAATGACGGCTGGAAGGGCAGCCACCATTGTGCCTTAGTCGGGCTCCCCTACAGGGTAATGTACAGACCATGCCAGCTTGACTGTGCAGACTCCTCCCACAGAGCCATTAGGAAGCGCTGGTCAGAGGGGATCAACCCGCCCCAACCAACCTGCAGATTGCCTGGGGCATCTGTTGCTGGATGGATACCATGCCCTGCTCTGATTCAGGGCCAAGCATTCCCAGGGGGTGGCCAGCACTGTAAGTGGAGTTTCCAATCCCAGGACAGCTGCCAGTGTTGTACATTTCCATTCCAAGTGAGTGACCAGATCTGAGAGCCGCATTTCCGAGATAGGGTCAGGCAGATCACTGCTGCCAATATGAACTTGGGCAGATATCGGGGACCTGTGGGCCAACCCAGACAGCAGTTGGTCTTGCTATGATCTGGGACTTCTTAGGAAACTCAAGAACAGTTACCAAAGTTGCAGCAAGACTGAGGCTGTGTTGATCTGACTGCTATTGTCTCTTTGAAACTCCACCCCACCCTACCCACAAATGGCCCCATGTGGCCCATTGTCATTGAACTGCCACAGCCCAGCCCCTCCCTAAACTCTCAATCCACACAGGCAACAAGCTTTGGCTGGCACAGGGTGGGCACTGCATGGAAATCAATGGCAGGCAGATCTTTGCTGTCTGCAAGAGTAGCAATATTGTGTCCAGGGAGCACAGGGGTCTATGGGACTGCCCCAGACAGCAGCTAGTCTCACTGTGATTTGTGTCTACAGTGGAAATGCCCAGGCACAGGAGTTGCAGCAAAAGTGAGCCTGTATTGGCCAGATGGCCTTTGTCCCCCTGAGATCCCGCTTCACTCAAGCCACAAAATGTCTGCAGCCCATTGACAAGCAGCCTCTTGTGCCCTGCTTGCCTCTGGGGTTATGCAGTCAGCGCAGGCAACAGACCTTGGCTAGCACAGTGAGCACATTTCAAGGAAAATGGTTGTGGACAGATCACTGCTGCCTATATGAGCTGTAATATCTCTTGAGGGGATTGCAGGGGTCTGTGTTGGCCCAATGGCCTTCGACTCCCTGAACTCTTGTCTCATCCAATACACAAAGTGCCCGCTGCACACTGACAGGCAGCTGCCTCTGACCTGGGGTAGCGCATTTAAGCCCAGGGTGGGCAGCAATTTGACCTTGCTACGAGTGGAAACTTATACAGGGAGCCACAGAAACAGTGTTGGCATGTAAACTGATGCTGCAATGACAGGGGGAAATTTACTCAGTAGACCCAGGAGACTCCCAGGGTCCCTGTGCCACTCAACATGCATGTCACCCAGAGGCTCATCCAGTTTCAGAGACTTACAGGCAACTGACAGGCAGTGTCAGGCCTTGAGGAGCACTGTTCCCTCTGCTAAACTGCCTTAGGTCAGAGAAGGGGGATAACGGACCACTGCCTACAGCATTGTCTCTTCCACTTACCTACAGATACAGCATAGCCAACAACCATCTATGGATTGCTATGTAGTCCTCACCGGGTAGCCCCGAGCAATCAAAAGCAGCAACTGACCTTGGCCTATGGGGGTGCCCCTCCCAAGGGGCCACAAAACCAATGCATCTGGAGGCTGGCACCAGACCACAACAGAGCAACACCTGACTAGTCCCATTAGTGATACACACAAAGGGTGGTTGCAACAAGTACACAAGCCTGCTAGGGCAAATCCCACTCAGTGGGGTCAGCCCCCATACTACAACTCTTACCCTGTGGGTGCAGTCAATTCGCACAATTAGTCAGCCTGAGCGTTAATCTCATCCACTGATAGTACTAACAACAATAAAGGCTTGGCAACAACAGGAGATCACGCACAGCCCACACAAAGATCATGTCCAGAGCCTCGGCATAAGGGATCAGGGAGAGTGTGCCACTGGGTCACACAGTACACCTACCACATTAGGCCATCTGGCCAAGGCTGAGAGATGAAACAAATATTCCTGATACATAGAAGCGAACACAGAGAGGCTAATAAAATGAGAAAACAAAGGAACATGCAACAAATGAAACAATGGGAGAAAACTCCAAAAAATGAGCTAAATGAAATGGAGGCAAGCAACCTACACCAGAGACAGTTCAAAATAATGGTTATAAGAGTGCTCAATGAACTTATGGGGAGAATGGATGAGCACAATGAGAACCTCAACAGAGAGATAGTAAGCATAAAAAAGACATAGAAACCATAAAAAAAACCAGACAGAAATATGGAATACAATAACTGAAATGAAGAATACATTGGAAGGATTCAACAGTCGATTGGATGAAGCAGAAGACTGAATCAGCGAATTAGAAGACAAGGTAGCAGAATGCACCCAATCAGAACAACAAAAAGAAAAAAGAATTAAAAAACATGAGGATAGTTTAAGAGATCTCTGGGACAACATGAAGCAAAAAATATCCAGATCATAGAAGCACCTGAAGAGGAAGAGAGAGGAAG